ACCTTGTGTGTCCCGCCCGGTGATGTTCCTACAGCCACGGCTGATCCCCCCTGAGTCGTTTTACCCGAATCCTTACCAATCGCCACGGTGGTATCCCCCTGTGATGTATACCTCGCATATTCCCCTATAGCCACTGATGAACTATCCTGAGTTGTCATGCCCTTGTATACACCCACACACACTGAGCGCTCACCCTGTGTGTCCCGCCCGGCTGATGTTCCTATAGCCACACTGTACGAACCCTGGTCGGCTATACCAGATCCCCGACCAATGGCTACACAGTTCCCACCTTGGTCTGCCGATCCCGCGCTTATCCCAATGGCCACGGAACTTGCACCTTGCGTGTCATTTCCCGCCGAATTGCCAATTGCCACACTTCCCGACGCCTGATTTGGCGTGCCGGCGTCCATACCTATGGCGGTTGCGTCACTGGATTGGTTCGCGGTGCCGGAGTTACGGCCCAGGCGCACGTTAGTGGTCCCTACTCTTCAAGACGTTTTTTTTTACTAGGGTTTTAGTTGTTGGATGTTTGCTATAAGGAAATTATTTTTTTTCAAACTATCAAGAACCGCGCTCTCTGGAATCGTTTTCGCGATTACGTCGTCACGCGATCGTCTTTGCTGCGTACACTGCACTGCACCCCAGGCGCTGGATTATGCCGATCGCCGCCTGGTGTTCGTACCAGTTTCCGACATGAAACCAATTGTACTTGACGATCGGCTCATTGTACGGTAAACACGGTACCTTTGCAATGATCTGGATCTCGGACAGCTGGCCGGCCAAATCGACGCCCGTGTGCATTGACGACGACAAAAATACCAAGTTCGGTCGATCCTCTGCAATCTCCAGTGCCGCCTGGATCGGCACAAGGTCCGTCGTTACCACCAGGAGTTGCTTACGTGATATTGCATTCACGTATTTCTCAATCAGCACCACATGATGGAGCGATGCCGTCATGATCAGCCCTTTCTGGGTGGTGTGTCGGGACATATTCCGGTCAATCGTGTACTGGCGATTCATGTTGAATTACACACTCGTTTCTCCGACGGGAAACACAAGTTCATCCAATAATGAAGTTCATTATAAATATGGACACATTCGCCAAATATATATCCATTTTACGAAACAAAGAGATGTTGTGCCTGAACTACTCGATTAATAATCTCGACTCGACGGAGACGTTATATAGTCGTATTCGTTACGAAGACTTTGCCATTGGTCACCATACTATTGTGGAAATCGTCAGGAGCCGCGTTGACGGTTTGGGAACCCCAAACACCGACACCATGATGTTGGCCGCCAACTCGACGAACTGGGACAATTTTCTTGCACGTATGTTCTTCGATCCCAGCTCACATTGGGGATTAGGGGACATTTCAGGAAACTCCGGAAGCATCGTGTCTCGGATCACACTTACATCGGAGTCCGATTTCGACTTTACAGCCATCCACATGAGATCGGATGGCAATGATAACGATGGTCTAGGAACAGCCCTGAGTCAGTTTGGGGAGAACAAAGATGCGTCGTGTGTATTTGATGCACTCATTACGACCGCCAAATTGGTATCGAACCTCATACTTTCGCACAACGGCGTCCGAGCAAAAAAGTGTGGCAATGTACTGCCCGATATTCTAGTGCCACTAATCCAGCGTGAGAAAGAAAAGTATCTGGAGTCGGACGGTCGTAATGGACTTTTGACGAATCTGGCTGATCGAGCCAATATTTCAATCATTCTAGTGACCATTAACTCGAAAAGATTGATGCATGTCAACCCGACGAGGAAGAATATGGCGGCAGTATCATGGACGTCCCAAGAATTACAGAACAGGGAGATGTCGAGCAAACACGTTCCCAATCGGCACCGTGTCTTCAACATCGACTTCAATCGGGTGACGCACATGAACATGTCTCTGCGTGCCTATAGGGATCATGTCGTGTGGACGACGCATCGCGAAGTCACCGGAGAGGACTTGGAGACTTTGATGCGCAAACATGTCGAAGATCCGTGGTCCAACCAAATAAATGCCATCAACCGCCGAGGCGGACAACTGGCGGCCGTATATTTCAAGAATATTTGGCTCACCAAGGAGCTTACCGATATAAGCCTCGCCAAGATCAAGATGCAGTGCCTGGAAGTCCGCCTGGGTGGACACGTAGCCGAGTTTGTGAAACTGGCATGCACGGACTTTCTAAGCTGGAACATGACCGGCATGGACGACATGGACTGGACCACTCGGCCCACGGAATTAATTTAGTCTAAAATATCAAGATCAATTGAGATAATACATTGGTTATTATTTGTA